CCCCACGCCCACATGAAGCACAGCCGCGTTGACCACCAGCACAGTGTCATCATCCTGCGATAGCCGGGTGCGCGGTGCAGCTGCAGCTCCGGTGCACTCACATGCATACCCGCACACACACGTGCACACGTGCACACACACAACACACACTCTCCCGGTGCTCGCCTCGTGCCCGGTGATGTCGCCAGGCATCGGCTCCAGGGGCACGGCGCCGGGCGGGGTGGCGGCACGGCGCTGCACCACAGCATGCACAGCGCGCATCCCAGGCTCAGCGGCAGCACAGCGCGGTGGCTACCACGCACCACAGCAGCATGCCCAGCGCTCAGCGCTGCCCACAGGCTGCCTGGGTTTCAAGTTCACGGCAGCAAGCAAAGCGCGCGGCAGGCGCAGGCCCGGGGCGGCGCATGCGGCGCACCCCTGCCGGCACGGGCACCGCCACCGGCACCGGAACGGCGGCGCCGCCGCCAGCCCCCTCCGCCTCCAGCTCCCGCAGTACCGCCGTGGTCCTGGTCCGCAGCTCCTGGCAGGCAGGGATCCCGGGCGGCGGCGGGAGGGAAGGTTACGGCTGCGCCCGGAAGGCGGGGCAATAGCTAGCAGGGGGTGGCGCTGGCTTTGGCGCTGGCGGCAGGCAGCTGGAGCAGGCTGCCAGCTGGCTTGTCAGCTGGAGTGGTTCTGTCCCGGACTAAGCTTAAGCCCCAGACCCCCACATAACCGTTACGCCCTGTACCCCACACACCACACACCACCGTACGCCCCAGCCACCTGCGTCTCCCGGAACAGAGCGTCCAGCTTGCGCTGCCGCGGCGACAGCGGCGGGGCGCCGCCCTCGCCGCGCCCCTCTTCCTCCCTGCAACGCCAGCCGCGGGAGAGGTGGGCGGGCGGGGACAGGTCGGGCCCCGCACCTGGCAGGCCGACGCAAGCTGCCGCACCGCATGCCGTGATGACGGGCAGCCTGCTGGCAGCCACAACAGGAGCTGCGTTTTTGTGAGCCCTCACCCAAGCACCCGCCTCTCAGTCTCCACATAGGGAGCCATGGCGGCGGCATATGCCGGCGCCTCCACCCTGCACCATGGCGCCAAGAAAAAAAGAAAGCACCATGATGCCACCCAGGCGCAGACAGCGGGGCGGCGGCACGGGGCGTGACACACTCAGGCAGGGCTGCTTCGGCTGCATGTCCTGTTGGCTGCCTGAAAGCAGGCGTGCACGCGGCTGCAGCCAGGCTGCCCGCAAGCAGCCCGCCGCGGCTGCCCACACGCGCGCGCCCTGCGCTGCCGGCAGCTGGCAGCGCGCAGGCTGCAGCAGCACACCACCGCTGCAAGACTGGTAACATACACGCTGGCCTGCCTGCGTGCTGCTGATGCGCCCACCTGGGGCGCCGCCTCTCCCCCTCCACAAACGGCGCCTCGGCCCTCCACTCATCGAGCCTGCGGGGAGGGTTCAGCGGTGGCGGCACGGCCGTCGTCAGGTGCAGGCGGTCAGCGGGCGGCAGCTGGCGGCAGGTGGCGACAGCCGGCAGCAGGCACCAGGCAGGCAGCAAGCCCGACCGATCCCTCGAGGCTTGCGCCAGCAGGCTGTGGCGGCACAGCAGACGCGGGCGGCAGGCTGCGGGGTGCGGCAGACGGGCCGGTGTGGAGCGCCTTCTGGCGGCGGCGAGCAGCGACTGCCCACCAACGCAGCAGAGCACCATACCCAGCCTACATTCTTCCTCACATCACACCGGGGCCGCATTCCTGCTACGCACGCATGAAACCGCTACAGGCGCAGGCGCCCCCGGCCTGCCTCTCCCCGCACAGCGCAGCGCTCGCGACGGCGCCTCTGGCGCAGCGGCTGCAGCTGGCCCTTCCCTGGGGACACGACTTGGTATCGCAGCATGCGCCTGCCAGGACGCCACCAAGCCCCGCCGCCGCCGCCGCTGCGGCAAGCGGAGACGGGCCTGGGTGGGAAGTGGGAGATGCAGGCCCCCTAGTGGCATGCACCCAGAGTCAGCAGCTACTCGAGCTTGCGGCCCAGCTGGCGCACTCACGCCCAGCAGCTCCGTCCAACAGCACAGCACAGAGTTTCTGAGCTCCTGAGTTGCAGTCACCCCGCTATGCTAGGCCGCGTGAGCAGACCTTGGGCAGGGGGCACACGTGATCAAGGGGCATCAAGAGAGGGGGTGGACCATGGAGCGCCCTCTCCATGGCTCCGGCCACCCTCCCCCCAGCACAGCACAGCATAGCACAGCACAGCACAGCACAGCACAGCACAGCACAGCACAGCACAGCACAGCACAGCACAGCGCAGCGGAGTGCGGTCCACACTGTCAGCACTCAGCGGCGGGCGGGCGCCCAGCCTTAGCAGAGTGCGGTGCGCAGGCAGGCGCCCAGCCTGTGACCCAAACATCCCGCCAAGCGGGCGGCACCCTTGGCAGCGCATGACGCTGGTTGAGAGCCGCCCATAGCAAGATGCTGGCACAGGCTGGGTGTACGGTGCCTGCACACCTTTTCCAGCTGCAGCACCACAGCTGGGCCCATTGCATTCACTTGCTTCATATGGGTGTTGCTGACAGGCAGACGAGACAGCCAGACAAGGGCGTGTTGTGCCCCGTCAGGGGCAGCCACGACGGCCGACTGCCAGCCTGGCCGTCGCCGGCCATACGCCGCACTGACTGTCTGTCTGTCTGTCTGTTACACCCATAAGGAGCAAGAGCATGCTACGGGCCCAGCTGTGGTGCCAAACATCTGGGAAAACTCCAGCCCGCGCCCACCCTCCCCGCCCCCCACGCCGGCCCTTTGGCACAGCTGGCAGGCTCAGCGTGCACAGCACAGCACGGCGGTGCCCTGCCTGCTGCACTGGCTGGCAGTGGACGGGCTCCGGGTGCCACCAGACTTCACTATGCACACTGCCTGCAGCTGCTCTTACGGCCGGCACGTGCGCTGCGGCTTGAGAGCGCATGCCGCGCACAGCCAGCCCTCGGTGTGGCATCTCGCATTGCAGCCCACGTGCCTCCACTCCCGCAGCAGCCCTGGCCACGCTCAGAAGCAGCCTCTGCCCGTGGATTGTCGCCTCGGCAGCAACTCTCCTGTGCCGGGACGCATGCTCCCTAGCATACGAGTTGGGAGCGCGGCAGCAATCCAGGACATGCAGCTGTCTGAAAAGCATTGCCGAAAAGGGCTGCTGCGGGAGGGTGGGAGTGGTGCCGCGCTGCCGCGCTGCACACGCCTCCCGGGGCTGCACCCAAGCCCCTGTGGCCGCCCAGCTGGCCGGCTTGGCCGTAGCGCTGCCGTTGTGGGGCTGGCTGGAGGCGGCGGGGGAGAACTGTGGGTCAGGCACCACAAGAGGAGCGGCTGGGGATGCAGCCCGCCGGCTACCGCCCCGCCCACCTTGCGCGGCGTGCTCACAGCCCTCCCCCACGCCTCCACCGCCAAACACAGACGCCGCCACTACGGCCAGCCCATGAAACCCTGCCCGGAACACGGGCAGGCCCACGGGCGGCACCCACCACCCCACGCGCGCCGCCCAGCTGTCGTCCTTCCTTTCTTCCACGGCCCAGCTACCGGTCCGGCACTCCCCGGCCTACTGCCGCAGAGCGCTGCTGGCAGGTGCAGCGCCCAAGGAGCCCAGAAGCCCGAGCGCAGCATCTGGCGCTGCCCGTGCATCGACCCCCGCGCCGGGGGTATACCCCAGCGCTGCCACCAAACCTTTACCCCACCCGCAGCTTCAGCCTCACCCACACACTCGGAAGAGGGCCTGCTTTCTTCCCTGGCATGGCCCACACCTCCACCCAGGCCACCCCCGCTGGGCTGCCGGAAGCTGCCCGGCAGCTGCTCCCCACCTGGGCTCCTCGGGCGCCTGCATCTCGCTGCCAAGAGCCTCCAGCTCCTGGCCTGCTTGGGGGGCAAGGGGGGGCAAGGAGGGGCAAGGATGCATCAGGCGTGCAGCGCTCATACATCAAGCTGAGACACAGCCGTACCGGCAGCGGCGGCTACTGCAGAGACCTGCCGACCCTGGTGCCCTTCTTACCAGAGCAGGGCGGCAGGCCAACAGGCGCAGGCAGGCGCAGGCAGGGCGGAGCGGCGCGGCAGGCTGGCAGGGGCGGGACGGCGGCGGCGCGGGGAAGGGAGACGAGGGGGCACCCGTGGCGGCTATGCCATGGAAGAAAGGCATGCCATGCGATGGAAGAAAGCCATGCCATGTGGCTGCCATGGAAGAAAGGCAGCAAGAAAGAAAGCGGCTGCCAACGGCTTACCCACGTATCGCTCCCCAAAGGCATGGGGCGCCGTCGTCACGCCGGGGCGCTCTGCAGCAGCAGTGTGGGGGGCGCAGGGGGTTGCACGCACAAGCGGCAGCTAAGCTCGCACCCCAGGCAGGGGCCACACGGCATGCATGCAGCAGCCCTGCGCGGCGTGCAGCCAGGCAGGAACGCTCTGACCGATGCCGGCTGCCCGGCTGCGCGGCGGCGCGCCTGGGGAGAGCGGGAGGAATGCGGGGGCGGCGCGGCCGGCGGCTGCAGAAGGGCGGCTCGCCAGCGGCGGGCGGCAACCGATCAGCCCAGGCGCAGGTTCAAGCAAGCTGGCGTTGTGGCAGGACTGGCCCATTGGCCCTGGGGCTGATTTCCGCTGCTGACCTGGCGGCGGCGGCTGCTGACCTGGCGTGGCGGGCGCATGCGGTGCCGCTCCCGCGATGCCTGCAGGGGGGAAAGGGACGGCGGCGGCGTGGCGGCATCAGTGGTGCCTGCAGCCAGAAGCGACAGCTGTCGCTTCTCACAACCAGCGCCGGGCGTGGCGCGGGCCCGCGCGCATGATTCACCGTTCGATCCAGGCTGCACAGGCGGGGCTGGCCGGGCGAGGCTCTCGCCCGCGCCGCCGCCTGAAAGGTCGAGCCTCTCTCAGTTGCTGGCCCGCAGAGTGCATAGCACAGCCATGTTCAACCGTGTTCATTGTTGCCAGCAGAGGCCACCAGTGCCGGCCACCAGCCCACTCGCTGCCAGGATTTTGAGCCAGCTGGACCAGCTGCCGAAGGCTCCCGGATGGGATGACAAGCCCTACTGCCCTCCCGGAGCTTTCGGCACCTGTTTGGGCAACTGCATTAATCCTGGCGCCCGCGACTGGAAGGGAGGGCACGCGAGCCAGCCAGCCTGGTCCGGCGGCCTCCAAGGCACGTTTGAAGCAAGTGTGTGTGTGCAGAGAGCTGGGTGCGCGCAGGCAGGGGTGCCAGGCATCGTGCCAGCTGGTCTGGCCGCGTCACGCGGCAGCCAAGCGCGGCCTCACCCAGTATATGAAAATTCTGGGTTGCATGCCTGCTGCTGCTACAACATGGACTGCAAGACCTCTCAGGCAAGCAAGCGGCCAGCAGCATGGCGGCTGCAACAGGCTGGTGGCCGGCTTTCCTGGGGAGGGATTGCAGATCCATGCAGCTACTACTAGCGTGCAGCCAAAGCCGTTTGATTGAATGCGCGAGGCTGAATTGGTAGCATGCGCAGCAGGTCGGCTGACAGGCACTGGGCTGGCAGTGTGTAGGCTGGCAAACTGCAATGCAGGCTGTGATAGTGGGCTGGGAAAAGGCTTTGGCTGATTACAAACTGGTTGTGGTCGGGAGGGAGGATTGAGTCATGGTGGTGCGACTGGCAGAGCCGAGGTGGCGGCTTGCCAGCGGTGGCGGCAGACCGCTGGCCGCCCAGCCGTGCGCTTGCCAGCCCTCGCGCCTCCATTCCATGCAAGCAGAGCAGCCTCCCACAGCCCAGACGGCGGCGCGGCCTGGGGGCTTGGCGGGCCCTAAGCCCCGCAGTCTGGCGCATGGGAAACTATTTGATTGCATGGAGCGGCGGCGGCTGGCTCCGGTACCGCTGGTACCCACCCGGGCGCAGGGGGCTGCCTGCGGCAGTCAGCCTCAGGGAGCCCTCTGGTGGATGGAACGGCAGCGGCGGCGGCAGTGGCGGCGGCAACGGCCACGCTGCAATCGTGCTCCTGCTTAAAGAAGCCCGCATGTGCGCACAGGCAATTTGTTTTAAGTACATGGCAGCTGCTGCTGGTGCAGCAGGCGAGGCGGGGGGATCAGTGAGGACTCGGCAAGCTGCCGCTCCCCGGACAGCTGGCGGCCTTGCTCTGGGCCAGCGGCAGTCCGATAAGATCCAGGTCAGCCAACCCCCAAGGGCTGAGCAGCCGCTGCCCGTGGCGGCGGCGGCGGCGGCGGCTAGAGCGGACGGCGCGGCTGGGGCAGCAGCATGGCTCCAGCTCGCCGCCACGCGGTGCACAGGATGGGCGCAGCGCTTCCTCGCAGACGGCGGCACGGCTGCGGTGTCGGGGCCGCCCGCTGTCTGCTTGAAGCGTGCATTCTATCCTGTGCGGCGGGCGGCGGCAGCAGCGCCGGGCGGCGGGCGCAGCAGAGTGTGAGGCTGTCAAGGCCAGGCAGGCCTGCAGCCGCCGCCGCCGCTGCTGGCAAGCTCGACTGCAGGCCCAGGCAGCACTGCTGCCGCGTCGGCGTGACTCGGCACGAGCCTCCCTGAGAGGGCACTTGAGACGGCCCCCAGCCGGCTGCCCCCCGGGCACCACACCCGCCCCTGCCTGCCCCGCCCTGGCAGCCGCTCGGTGCGGGACAGCTGCCACCCACGGCCGTCGATTCGCAGACCAGAACAACCCCTTGCATGGAGCCCCTGGGGGACCCTCCTCTGCTGCAGGCCGCCACATGCCCAGCACCACATGACCGGCTCAGCGCCAATCCAAGCCAATTCCTTCGGGAACGCCTAATAGAATCGCCAAGGCTTCGGCACAGGCCTCCCCGGGACCCATTCACTACTAGTGGGGGGTACTGCACTTGGCGCGTCGGGCAGATCAAATAATGGTCTAAAGCTAGACGTTAAAACCGGGAAGTTAAGCTTGTGGAGGCTCTTCCCCACCTTTACCTTTTACCTTTGCCGCCCTCGGGCGACCCTGGAAGCCTCGGTCCCGCCTCCCAGACGGCGGGGTGCCCCTGAGGCTGGGCGGCCCCCAGTCTGGGATAGCGGGCTTCGGCCTGACAGCGACACCCGAGGGCTGGGCAGCTGGCGAGCCAGCAGCGCTGCGCCATCGGCAGCTGCCGCCGCCACATCCGACACCCCTGCAGCGGCCACACGCTGTGGCGGCCACACGCTGGCATTCAGGCAGGTTTTGCCCCCAAACGGTTGCTGCACCCCTTCGCATCTGCATGCAGGGGCAACCTGCCGCAGGGCAGCGCCGCTGGGCGCCTCGCCCCGCCCCGCCCGCAGGCGCCGCTGTGTACCTGGGGCCGCCTTGCAGACGGCGGGCTGCCTCGGGGAGGATCTGGCAGCCCATGGTCTGCAGGTGTGCACGCATAAAGTCCACAGCTGCTGCCCCGTCCCCGGGGCCTAGTGAAGAGCCGTCGGTGATAGCGTCTTTCACCACCCCACCCGCCACACACGAAGGCCGGCTGTGGGCCGAGACAGATTCGACTTCTGTTGATGCCAGGCTGTGTCTGCTCGAGCTGCCAGGCGCCCTGCCAGAATATGCTGAATGAAGGCGGGCACGCCCAAGAGGCGGACGCCCAGCCCAGCTGCCGTGCTGAGCAAGGAGTACCCGCCGCGCCGCCATCTGGATCCCTTTCCATCATGTGAAAGGAGACGCTGGTGAGCACGATGCCCGTCGCGCGGTCGCAGCCCCTGTGCACTGCAGCATAACTCTTCTGCAGTGCCGTGCACAGGGGCACGATAGTGCCATGGAAATCGTGATCACATCTTATCCTTTAAGATGATGGAAATGATCCGGATCTACAGGCGTACTTCAGTGCACTGCCTGTGCAGTGCAATGCATCGGGCGCGACACACCACGCCCGCCCCAGCCAGCAGAGAGCATAGAAGCCGCCCGTGCCGCCCGCGTTGGAGCGAGGCCTGACCCACGGCTGGCTGCGGCTGGAGCAAGGAGTACCAGCCGCGCCGCCATCTGGATCGCTTTCCATCATGTGACAGGAGATGCAGCTGGTGAGCACGGTGCCCATCGCGCGGTCGCAGCCCCTGTGCACTGCAGCACAGCTCTTCTGCAGCGCCGTGCGCAGGGACACGCCGGTGCCTTGGACATCGTGCCGGCACCTTCTCCTTCAGATGATGCCGCTCATCCACATGGAGGCGCACATCAGTGTACTGCCTGTGCAGTGTACCGCAGATGGCGTGACGCAACACGGCCGCCCCAGCCAGCGGCGGCGGTGGAAGCGCGCCGGCATGGCAAGCTGCTGTGTGAGCCAGCCAGCCAGCCAGCCTGTGGCGGCTGGGGGACCCTCGACCCCGCCCGGTGCGCCACCCACGTGGCATCGGTAGCTGCCGAGGAAAGAGGCAGCGGCAGGGTCAGACAGGCTGGCAGCGGCACCCTCCCCTCACCCGCTTCCTTCTTCTCGATGAACTGAGGCTCCCGTCCCGCCCCCGCCTCCTCCTCCGCCGCCCGCTCTGTCGCTGCCTCGGCGCGCGGGGTGTACTGCAGGGGACAGGCAGTACAAGGGGGAGCTGTACAGCAGGGGGCTGAGCGGCAGGGCAGCCTCCGGCGGGGGCGCACACACGCATGTGCGCACACCTACACTACTCCTAAACAAACACATACATACATACACACACACGCGCGCGCACACGCACACACCTGCGGGGAGGGCGCCTCGGGGGCCGCCTCCACCGACGCCACGTTGAGGGTGAAGCCGCCGCCCAGGCCAATCACCTGCGGGAGAGGGGCGGGGGTGGGGGCAGGGGGGATAGGATGAAGCTGTGCAGGGATGAACCGAGTACTACTGTGTTTGCTGGCAGCGCTGCCAGCGAGATGGCTGGCCGTCTGGGCGGCCTGGGGGCGTGGTAGCTCGGCGGAGAGCTGTACGGCCTGGGGTGCAGGCGCATGCATGGCGGGGGCATGCGCCGATCTCTGCCCCTGGCGGCTGGCACCGCCAGCTGAGGTCTGGCCGAATGTTGCAGGTCTGAGCCGGAGCAAAGCGTCCCGCAGCGCAACACTCACCTGTACCTGCTCCGCCTCGGCGCCGCCCGTGCCCGCCCGCCGCCGTGCCGCGCTTTCCTCCAGCCCGCCTCCGCTGCGGCCCAGCAGCGGCAGGTGCAGGTGGGGCAGGAAGCGGCGCAGGGCGCCGGTACCGGGCACGGCCTCCAGCAGTCCCATGGAGAGGTGGAAAGCGGCCTGCATGGGCGGGAGGAAAGATGCAGGGGGGCAATGCGGCAAGGGAGGGTTGGTGGTGTGGTGGAGAGGGAGGCGGCGGGGCACCATTCGAAGCTGGCGGCAGGAGGGCGGGAGACAAGGCAGGAGTTGGGGCCGAGGCACAGGCTCCCTGGGGCAGGCAGGATACCAGTTGGAGACCCTGTTGCAGCCCCAAAGGGCCAGCCAGGGCCGAAGCGATTCGCCGCGGCAGGCAGCAGGCGGCAGAGGGAGAGCGGCAGGGGGCGGCGGCGGGCCGCCAGAACCCTCGCCCACGGGCGTGCCTTGGATCGCCCCCGCCCGCCTCCACGGCTCATGGCATGCTGCTTGCGCCCAGCGGGCGCGCTGGCACGCACCTCTGTGCCGCCAATGCCGATGCCCAGCAGCGTGGCGGCCGCGCGCTCCGCCAACCCGATGCTGGAGGTGACTGCATGGACGCCTCGGCCGATGAAGGGGTTCAGGGCGCCGGCGAAGAGGTCGAAGGCGCGGCGGGTGAGCGACGAGGATGGCTGCCGCACGGCAGCAGGGCGCTGTTGCGCCGCTTGAGCCTCGGGACCGTTCATTGTGCGCAATCTGGCGCCCGAGGGGAGGAGCGGGGGCCTTCATCTCTGCATGAGAGCGCATGCGCAGTCAGCGGCCGCCCCGTCAGCGTCGCCGCCGCCGCTCTGCCTCCATGCCCCAACGTGCTCTTGTCAGTCTTGAAACCCGGCAAGCATGGACCCCACGTTCAAGAGCAACAACCAGCACCAGCGGTCGGTGCGGTTCGCCCCCACCCCGCAGGAGCAGCGGCTGCGGGCGGCGGCGGCGGCGCTGCGCCGCGCCCTGCTGGTGGCCCTCTTCTGGCCCCTCATCCTGCCCTGGCGCGCGGCCCTGCTGGGCGAGCGTCTGACGGCCAAGGGGCTGGGAGTGTACCTGGGACTGCTGCAGGCGAGCTGGGGCAGCCCTTGGGAGCAGCCAGCCTGCCCTTGAGCGCAGCCTGGGAGGGTGCTAGGGGTGTGGGGTCCCGGAGGCAGGCGGCGGCGGCGGCGGACAGCGGGGTGAAGGGGCGGCTTCCTCGCAGCTGCACTCAGGGCGATCGGCACGCTGGCCGCTCCACAGACGTGTTATCCTGCTCCCTCCTCCACCACAGAGCTTCCCCGCGCACTCACTCCCACCATGTGCATGCAGGGAGGCGCATACGCCGCCGCCGCCGTAGCGCACCTGCTGCTGAGCCGCGGCGGCGCGCGGCGCCTGCTGTGGGGCGCAGGTGCGCCGAGAGCAGCTCCCCATCGCTGCGGGACGGGGAGGCTGGGCAGCTGGCTTTGAGATGTGTGCAGCACCAGCGCGCGGCCAGCGGCAGAGCTCCGCTGGAGCCGGCGCCACATCACGGCCCTGCCACCGCCAGCGTCAACAAGCGCGCTGCCACCACCCTCACCACCCCCTTTCCCCTGCTCCCTAACCACCACCCCTCCCCCCACACACACGACTGCAGATGCATCGCGCCTGGCGAGGGCCGCCAGCGTGCCGGTGCCGGGCACGCCGCCGCATGCCGACGCTAGCGCAGGCGAGTGCGCCCGCTGCGCTGCGTTGTGCTGTTTGTTTCCTTCGCAAGGGCTGCCGCCTGCTGCTGCTGCGGCGGCTGCACAGGGCATGTGGCGGCGCCTGCTGGCAGTGGCGTGGCAGCGAGCCAGCCCCGCATGCGTCCCGCCAGCCTTGCATCTCACACCTGCAGCCTCACCCCCACAACCCCACACCTGCCTCCACTGCTGTGTGCCTGCCTTCCCCTGCCGCCATCGCTCCCGGCCCTGCCTCCACACCTGCCGTCTGCCCCCTGCCCCCTCCCACTCCACCCTGCTCAGACCGCGTTCCCTCCGACGTGCTCCACGCCGCCATCGAGGCGGCCGCCGCCGCCGCCCGCGCCGCCGCCCCCGCCGCCGAGCCCGCCGTGCCGCACCCGCTCACCCCTCCCGTGGTGGCCCCGGCGGCAGAGCCGGCTGCAGTGGCAGAGCAGGCTGGCGGCACGGCGGCGGCGGGTGAAGAGTGGTCCCCGGCTGCGGCCTTGCAGCCCGCTGGCCCTGAGAGCAGCCTCAGCCCCTGCCTCAGCCCCACTGCCGCCAGTGCTGCCAGCAGCGTCACGCCTGCCAGTCCTGCCGCTATGCCAGCCTCCCAGTGGGCTGCAGCGGCGCCACCCTCCCCCGCTGCCGCCGTGCCCACCCCAGCCCGCGGCCACCCCGCCGTGGCGGCGGCTTACGCCTCGGCCCTGGCCCGCTCCCCCGCCCCCGCCGGCCCGCCTTCCCTGGAAGGGGCCGTGGAGGAGTGGCAGGCGGGGGTGGATGCGGCCGCTCGCGGGGCGGCAGGGGAGGGGGGGAGGGAGACGGGGAGGCACCACGTGCATGCCCCCCAGCTGAGCTGGCAGGGGCTGCAGGACAAGAAGGCGGGGCTGCGAGCGCTGCAGGTGGGGAGGGCGGGGCAGGGCTAAGCAGGATGGTGCCACTGCCTTACCAATGGTACCGCTTTTGTACAGCTGCAAACGCTGCTGCCGCTCCCCTAGCTGCTGCCTGCATCAAGCGGCGCCGCCGCCTCGCAGCTGTGCCCCTGCACCCCCAGCACCACCTACCCACCCCCTGCCGTGCCTCCTTTCTTCCCTGCGTTCTTTCCTGCACTGCAGGCCAAGGAGGAGCGGCTGCTGGCGGCCTTTGAGCCCAAGGGTGAGCCCTGCGCTGGTGACAACACACACACATGCATGCGTGCGCTGGCACACACACACACACACACACACACACACACACACACACACACACTCACACACAAGTACACACATGCATACCACCAACACCACAAACACACACCTGCTGCCGTGCCCACGCCTTTCCTCTCCCCTCCCCCTCCCTCGCCCGCAGGCCCCGAGGCGGCGCAGGCGGCGGCCGCCTGGCTGGCGGCCTCCGAGCCGCTGCTGGCCACCAGCAGCACCGACCTGGGGGCAGGTGGCGGTACCGCAGCTGCCGGCGCCGGCACCATTGGCGGTAACGCTGCAGTGGGCAGTCGCCCGCCTCGCTCCGCCTCTGCTGCCAGCCTGGCAAGCAGCGGCGGCGCCGGCGCTGCAACCACTGCCGCGGCTGTGGGGGCAGGCGGGGCTGCGGGTGCAGGAGCAGTGCCAGGGCCCGCCGCCGCGCCCAGGCTGCCCCCGGGGCTGCCGCCGGGGGCGCGCCCGGGGCTTGTGGGCCGCTCCGCGTCCGCCGCCAGCCTGGGTGGCGGCAGCCGCCCCGGCACTGTTGCCGTCAGCACGGGCCGCGCCTCTGCCGCCTCTGGCGGCGGCGGCGGCGGCTATGGCGGCGCCAAGGCTGAGCGAGTGAGCAGCTACCCACTGCCAGACCTGGAGCTCGAAGCCGGCGGCAGCTCCAGCCGCGGTGGGGAGGAGGAGGCGGGGCGCGGGGCTGGGGCCGCCGCCGCCGTGGCACGCACCACTGCGGGACCCTTCGGCGGCACTACACTCAGCGGCGGCAGCTGCGGTGGCGGTGGCGGCGCCATGCCGGGTGGGGGCGCCGGGCCAGGGGCCTGGAACGGCGGCGCCGGGGCGTCGGCGGCGGCGCCAGCTGGCGCTGAGGTGGCGGGCGCTGAGCTGGCGAGCGAGGACTCTATGGAAATCACGGGGCACACCAAGCGGGAGAAGCGCTGAGGGCGTATGGGGCGTTTAGAGTGCGAGCAGCGCACCCGCGGCAGCCGCGGGCGGCGGCGGCGTGAGCGGCGGCCTGCCGGCGGAGGGAGGCGCGAGCGCCCGCCCCCGCCGTGCCGCCGCGGATGCAGGGAGCGATGCATGCATGTGGCAACGAATGCGACTGCGTGCTGCACAGCCCAACGGTGCATGCCCTGCATTGCCGCCTGAGCTTGGCTAGCGTAGCGAGTGTTTACAAGCAGCAGCCCAGGGTGGTCACAACACAACAGGGTGGGGCTGGTGGCGAGGTGGGCAGAGCACTGGTCAGCAACACCAACAGAAACCGTGGCACAGCAGGTGGGGGCTGGCAGCCAGAGGGGGAGCAGGCAGCGGCACAGCAACACCACCAGAAACCGTTGCCAGTGTTGGGCATGGGCGCGCCTCCCAGCCGGGCGGCTGAGGCAGGCTCAGGCGGCGCCGCCAGCCAGCGGCACAAGCCCCTGCGCTGTCAGCCACATGATTGCAAGCCTGGGATCGGCTCTGCAGCCAGGTGGTGGGGGAACAGCAAGGGGGCGTGGGCTGGCCGGCGGCCCAGCAGCGCCCACACAGAAGTGAGGCGCGCTAGCCAGCCGGTGCGCGCGGCGGCGGCGGCGGCCGGCAGCGGGGAGCGAGGCGGCGGCAGCGCCCGCAGCCCTGCCGGCTGGCGGCTGAAAGCAGCGCAGCTGCAGCAGCGCATCAAAAGCACCAACCGCAGCAGAAGCAGCGCAGCAAAAAGAACTGCTGCAAAAGGCGCCGCAGCCAGCAGCGTCCCGCGCGCGCACCTGGGCGCCGGCTGCCCCGGCAGCGCGGCCCGCCGCCCGTTCCACTCCAACCTGGTCAGCCGGCGCAGCTGGGCCACAGCCGGCAGCGGCGCCTCCTCCTCCTCCACCCCATACACCTCCAGGCTCTCCAGCCCCGGGGCTTGCTCCAGCAGCGAGTGTACCAGGCTGGGAGGCAGGAGCTCCGCGCCGGGCGCCGCAGCAATCACCAGGGACCGCAGCCCTGCCAGCTCGGGCAGGGGGCCGCAGCGGGGCGCATCCAGCCAGCAGCTCCAGAGCCGCAGCGTGCGCAGCGGCGCGGCGCCGCCGGGCAGCAGCGCGCGCAGCAGCGGCGCCAGGTCGCCGCCGCCATGCGAGGCGCAGTCCACCCACAGCGTGCCGGCTGCGGCGGGGCTACTGCTGCTGCTGCCGCCGCCCTCCTGCTCC